CTCACGAGGATGAGCATCATGTTTGCCCCAGTCTGCCTTGACGGCCTCTCCTGCCCATGGTCTCTGCCAGCCCGTAACCAGCTCAGACAAGGGCGGGTGTCCTTCCTGGGAAAGAAAGACATTTCCTTCTATTTTCTATCTTATGAGAAGAGTAACTGGAGTTACGTTGTCCTCTTACCTAATGGCTTTATGTAAGTTTGTGTAGCAGGAAGTTGCTCAATAAATAATTACAGGGTTAATTAGAGAAAGCTTTGTAATATGGAGCTGTCTCCTGCACTGGAGACCAGTCTCTAAATTGTGACTCCTGTATTTCAGTTGAATTTCTGTACAGTGTAGAGAATGGATGGGATCCCAAAGGCAGGGCTGTGGCTCATTCTCGGCCTCGTCAGTTCTGGTGCTGGTGGCATGGGTCCTGGCTGGAGCCAGCCTGCGAAGCAGCTTGGGCTAGAACAGTAACTTGGGAGTGCAGGAGCCCTAATGTCCATGGAGCACCCAGAATCTCTGGGCTGGGTAGTTAGTTATTGGCTTGATGTCCCTACTTTCCCCTTGGCTTTTGCTCCCCGCGATGGCGAGCGGTGCCTGTCCCACCCCAGGCCGTGGTGCTGCGCTCCCCACCCCTGCGCAGGGTGGGTCTGGGCTCTGTTGGTTTAATGCTCCGGGTTTCTGAGCTGGGCTTTGTCGTTGCAGTTCAAAAGCAACCCTCCTTCGCTGTGTTCTAGCTTAATACATCTTGTAGTATGTGTTTGTGTACCCGGACCTTTTTATAAAAACCCGAACAACCAACCGGGTGCACACAGAGCTGCTGCGTGTGTTATTGTCAATTTTGTCCCAGGTGAAAGTGCTGAGTGGAGCTTTGTTTGCAGGTGTGGTTTTCTCTAAGCCGAGGTTGACAGTTCTGAGAACAGGACTGAGGAAAGATGGGGTACGGTCTGCTGTGCGAGCAGCAAACAGAGCCTGAGTGCCAGGGCAAATGAGGGATTCTGGTGGCAATAGAGCAGGGCGTGAAGGTGAAACATCTGACCTGGGTGGCTGCAGGAGAGCACAGCCTGTTGCTGTGGCTTTGCAGCAGCTCTGCAGTCCCTTGAGGAAAATGGCCCATTGTGAGACCTGGGCTGATAAGTGTGACTCTTTCAGGGAAGTTTACCTTAGATAAGTGCTCAGGCTTAAACAAGAGAATTGCTTGTGCTTTTTGAATGAGGAGCCTCTTACCCATGAGAGTTATCCCAAAAAGCACAGGAGAGATCCCAGAAAATGTGACTGGGGCAGGCCAGGCGGTAATAACGCTGCCAATAGGACAGAGTTTGACATGAGAAAAGCAGTCTGGCTTTTTTAAGCAATTTGCTAGAAGGGGAATTCCATTCTGAAACTTCCTGTATTGATGGTGTGATGTTCCCTGCTGATTCATTTGCAGTGTGTACAGCGGCCTCCCTGAACAGCTCTTGACAAACATATGCAAATCATAGTGGAAATTAGCTTTTACTTCCTTCTAAGGGAATTTTTTCTTGGCTGCTGCCAAATCAGATCAGCCCAATTAGCTGCCTTCTGGAGGTTTGAGATTGGTAGCAGGAACTGAAAAAAATCTCTGCTTTTTGCATTTATCTGTAAAAGACTGCAGTCACCTGTGTCTGGCTATCTGTAGCAAAACCAGTCTGACACTGGAGAAAACTTCTAGAGCATCTTTCTTCTGACGGTTAACATCAGCCCATCTGTTATTTAGGATTCTTCATGAAGACACGTTAGGTGTCTTTTTAGGTGTCAGTGTTAAATGTATAGGTCTTTTAGAATAAGTATTTTGGCATAACTCTTCAATTTTCTTAATATTTCCAGGGAAGAGGGAGAACAGAAGTTCCTTTTTAGTGGTACTGCAGTAATTGTGCTGCTTAGCAGTGCCTCCGCTGGGATGTGAGCCCTTCACGGAGGAGTTCTCTGGTGTGCTCAGTGGTGGTGGGAGCTGAAGTGTCACTCTAGTGTAGATGGGAAGGGTGCAGAAGTAGTGCCCAGGTGGGGAAACTCTTACTGAACTGAGACCAGGTGTCATCAGTACAGTGTGTCTTCATAGAGTGTCATCCTGAGACACAGGCTGTTAGATTCCCAGAATGACAAATTGGGCTGTAATACAGAAATGTTGAAAGTTTGCCAGAACTATTATCAGCACAAGAGGTGATTACTCTGTAAATACCAGCACTCATAAAACAGGAATGGTAGTTTCTTCTTGAAGTTCTAGAAACTTACTGATACGACCTAATGAATAATTAAGAAACAGCTTTTTGCTTCTGATGCTGTTGTCAGACTGTTTTCAAACTGCCAAGTGCTGTTAAGACATTCAGAACTGATCCTGTTAGCAGGAGATGTGGCAATTTTGTGCAGACAGTGCATTTGTAACTGACTTGTTGGGCTGTAATATAACAAAGAAGCATCCTTCCTCAGTGCTGATGTCCTTGAGGTAAGAGTGTGTAAAATGTCTTGTTTTCTGTAAGTTATCAGAACAGCTGTGCAGGGAAAACACCTGGTGAGGGTACAGTTTACACTGGCAGAGCTTAGCCACTGGTATTGGCTGGCAGAATAGGACAAAGGGTGTTCAAGATCATGTTGTACTTGGGGCTGAAAATAAAGATCTGGAGTCCAGAGTTGAAGCGAAGGCTCTGTGTCAGAGCAGCTGCACCAGCTACAGCTGCTTTCTCCCTCCCAGTGAGGATTTGGGTGTTTCTTGGTATGCTGGGGTGCTAAAAGCAACAGTAGTTCTGTGGAGATCTTAGTGCTGCTATTTCCACAAGATGAGCAATGAATACTGGTTGTGCTGCTCCTGACACTTCTTCGGTAAGGGTTGTCTGAGTTGCTGGATCCGCTTGCTTATTGTATTGCCTGACTAGTCTGTACATAACCTGAATATTGAAATTCTCAATTTTCTTCTTCGCTGCAGCCATGGAAATAAAGAAGTGTTCTCCTGCCGAGGTATCCTTCTGGCTGTCCAGTGGTTTTGGGAGAGGGGACACAAGGATATTACAGTCTTTGTGCCATCTTGGAGGAAGGAGCAGCCACGACCAGATGTACTTATAACAGGTGTGGAAATATGAAAAGTAGCTTTTCAGGCTTACTGCTTTGTCACTTAATGAGCTTGCAAAGTTCTGGCTAGTTAGTAATTAACTTATGAATTGAAGATCTGAGTAGCAGGAGAGCCAGTAAGCTGAGCTGACCAGTGAGAATTAGTCATTAACTTCTCCCCTCAGCACGTTCTTGCCTGGATCAGTTGGAATAATTCAGAGAACAAAGAATGTAATACTGCTCTGCTTCCTGACTTGTCTTTATTACTTGATTTTTTTTTTCCTCTTTCAGGGACACATACACTATGTATTTGCCTGTAACATATTTGACACTGTAGACGGTACATGCTACAAGTTAAAGCTGGTGGGAGTTTAGTCAGAATTATTCAATCTGAGGGGAGTTTGCTCTGAACTTGCAAACAGCTGAGGTTTCTAAGTAACTCGGAAATCTATGCATGTGCCATGGCACTACAAAAGATACTGCCAGTCTTAAATGCAAATCGCACTTTGCATGCAAAGGATTGTGTGGATGGGACTTGCTGTGTTACAGCAGCCTCTGTGCTGTGCTCTGAGTGTTCTCGGGTGCCACGCAGGCACCGGGGCTAGGGATCGACCTCTGACAGCCTGATGGATGGTATAAGAAAAGAGAAGAAAATACAGGCTGGGTTGTTGAGACACGAAATTACTTTACATGAATTTTGTAATTTATTTATAGTTTCATTTTATCTGTGCGACGGCCTTTGGGCTGTTTAAGTATGTTCACAGTTGTTTTTGTTCTAGACCAGTACATTCTCCGTGACCTTGAAAAGAAGAAAATTCTGGTCTTCACTCCTTCCAGGCGGGTTGGAGGCAAGCGTGTTGTCTGTTATGATGATCGATTCATTGTGAAACTGGCACATGAGTCTGATGGCATTGTGGTTTCTAATGATACTTACCGGGATCTGCAGAACGAGCGTCCCGAGTGGAAGAAATTCATTGAGGAGCGTCTGCTGATGTATTCCTTTGTTAATGACAAGTATGTTCCCCTTCTTCCTTTGCTTTTTAAAAAAGATCTGTGTGAGTGTCATGTGGTGTTTTAATGAAGCAATAGCAAGTGATGCATGAAAAGAGCAAAATGCTGGTACAGAATGAAAAATCCTGTAGAGATACGGGTTTTTTTGTAGAAGGAAGTGTGGTGGGAAGAACTGCCTGACTGTGGTGAGGTGCAAAGGCAAAGGAGTTGGGAGTCACTCAGTAGCTGTTCATGGTTTGGAGCTAGGAGCTCTGCTGCGGTGGAGTTCCTCAGAGAGCTCCAGGGCTTGATTTCCTCACAGGACGCTCGTTAGCAGGCCCAGCAGCAAGTGCTGATCCTGGTCAGCAGCAGAGCACAAAATCTCTTCTGTGCCTGCAGTGAAGGACTTCACGCTGGTCTGTACCAGGTGGCAGGAGGGTTGTCTCTGCAGGGAAATGGAAAAGCTTTTGGGGGCTCAGATAGCTTTTAATCTTCAGTGACATGGGAGACTTTGATAAGAAATGAAACACTGACCCAAGAAAGTGAACTGCTCCTGATTGAGATTTATTTTCTCTTTAGGTTTATGCCTCCAGATGATCCCTTAGGGCGACATGGCCCCAGCCTGGATAACTTTCTCAGAAAGAAACCTGTGGTGCCAGAACACAAGAAACAGCAGTGCCCTTATGGTAAGACCTGCCTTCTAGCCATGAAGACTGAGGAGTCCATGCAGGTGTAATTCATACATTTAGTAGTATTCAGCTGGTCATTCCATGCTCATTCCATGTTCTGCCTTTCCTTACAGGGAAGAAATGCACTTATGGAATTAAGTGTAAATTCTACCACCCTGAAAGGATCAACCAGCCCCAGCGCTCATTAGCTGATGAACTCCGAGCCAATGCGAGGTTGTCTCCTACCAGAAGTACCGGTGCTAAGGAGGAGAAAAAGGGCAAAAGAGGTTCCCAGGCAGAGCTCTTGTGCTCTGTGCCCACAGAGAGTGACAAAAGCTCTTTGCAGAAGGTTTCTGCAGAGAGGAAAAGCTTGGCCCACAAAGCAAAGCCCAGTGATGTTCCACTTCAGGTCAAAGGCTGTGTGTCAGGCAGTGTCCCCTCTAACAGCGGGAGCCACAGGTCCTCTGACAGGTACCAGCAGCCGCATATGGACTCTCTGTCTTACCTCTCTCAGGAGCATCTTGACTCAGGCATTGGGTCTCTGGAGAACCAACTGTCTGACATGTGGCCTTACAGATCTCCTAGTCACTGTGACCATTCCCATGCTGATCAGGTGGCAGTCTGCAGCTGCGGTAGGCAGAGACCTCTCTACCCCCATTCTCCCAGCTTAGAGCAAAATGGTCTGGTCTCTTACAAGCATGGTTCCCATAAATCTTCTTCCTCTGGTGCTAGCTTCTTGCAGTATAGCCCTGAGATATCCCACTCAGGACCACCTCACTCTTTCTCAGGCTACGGAGTGCCTGTACACCCAGCTAATGTGGGGCAGTACAGTCTGCCCAATGAGTATAGTGCCCCTCCAGCCCATTCTCGTGAGTACTGGTCTGAACCGTACCAGATGCCGCCGCCTCAAGTGAGATCTGCCAGTGTGCGAGATCCTCGTTCAGTGCAGAGAGCCCCAGGGCCGGCGTACGGGGACTCCTGCCAGTGGGCTGTCTCTGACCAGTTTGCAGAGGAGAGGGCCAATGTGCATGTCAAGCTGTGTGGCATATTCCATCCCCATTTAGTTGATGCTGTGATGAGCCGTTTCCCTCGGCTTCTGGATCCCCAGCGGCTAGCTGCAGAGATACTGATGTACAAGTCTCAGAACCCAGGTATATGAGGTGGATGCTGAGGGCAGCCGGGCACGTTTGGACTCTGTAGCTGCTGTAGATGCCTTCCAAAGAATAAGGAAGAGCCCTCAGAAGTACCAGGCTCCAGCTGGAGGCTGGATATCGGATGTGGTATGCTCACAGCAAATTTTGGTGTAGACATGACTGTGTGCCCCTCTTAGAGAGGCAGCCGTAGGGTCCCCCTTCCCCAGAGAATGTTGAAGAGGGTCTGGGTACTGAACAGAAGAGGATGCAGCTTTGGAGCAGGATTTTTTCCTTTGGACTTGTATGGTGAGTCAGGCACACCCTAAGTTCCTGCAGTTATTCACAACTGAATGTGACCGTGCTCCTCCCGTTAGCTTCAGTTTTGAGATGGCTTAGTGTGCTATCAGGTGTAGGGAGGGAGGACTTGGGGGGTTTGGGAAGGTAAGGGGGTACAGCCTCTGCAGTCGTGTGAGGCTGATTTGTGAAGACTGAAAGGCATTGCCAAGGCTGTTCTTAGTTCTTAACTAAGCCTCTTTACTAAATCCTACCATGCAGATCTGTGGAAAATGTTGTCTTACAAATCTAGTCTGAAGCTAGGTTTAGCTGACTTTAATTGGGTTTTATTGGTGCACTTCTTCAATGACTCTTACCCACTGAAGCTTGCCTCCCTGAGATGAGGTGGTTCTCCAGTACGTACCACAAGTGCTTAGTAAGCTGCTCAGCTCCCAGGAATAAAGGAGCTTGGAGTGCAGTGCTTTCTCAGGATGAGAGACCTGATGCTGCTCCAAAGCTACGTGCGAGGTGTGTGTTTGGCATTTGCTGAAAAATGCAGTTGTCAGAACACGTGAATGCCCACGCTGCTGATGTTGCTCTGAAACATTGACCTTGGCTGGTAACCTGTCATGTGTGATCTGTGTACAGCCCTGACAGGGAGGATTTGTGATCTTGTGCCTTTTGTCTTCAGACAGCAATAGTTTTGAGCATTCAGTAAAACAGTGTAGTCATGTATGGACTGCTGCCAGTATCGTTCCTGAGGATTCCTTAATATTTTTCTCTACAAAGCTGTTGCTTCATCTTCCTTATTAATATTTTCCTGTCCCCTTCAGCTTTGTCAAACTATAGCAGCATCCAAAAATACCGAATAAGACTTACTTGGTAAGACTGTTCCCCTTTCCTTCCCTCTTACTCTGTAATATGTTTTTTTACTGTAGATACTGTAACGGATTTTAAATATGCAAAACCAATTGCTGTAGTAATTGGTTCTGGTCCTGGAATTTCATTGTGCTTAGAATGCAAAGATGTTTCTTGCACTTGCAGGCCAGAAGCAGTTGATTTGTTGATACACATTGTATCTGTATTTTTTGTTATGTTTTTTAAATATGTCCATCTTGTGGTTAAACCAAGATTGTGAAGGGGAGAGTGGAACACAGCTGTTTCTGAGAGCCCTCTTCAGGAATGGTTTTGTCTGTCGCTGTTCTTCCCTCTGCCTGTCCAAGGAGTGACCTGCACAGACTGGCACCATGTGCCGTAGAAACCACAGGGACACAGAAACCTGTATACCTGGTTAATTATGATACATTACAAATTAGTAATGTTTCATGTTAGTAAGCAAAATGCTTCTTAATTTTAAGTAACCTGATACTTTGCATATTTGTAAATTACAGGAAAAATGGTTTTTAATGTTATTGTCCAGAAACTTGCTGCTTGATGCTGTTTTTAATTAGTACTATTTGTGACTCAGCCATTGTGTTCCTTGGCGTGGTGGTTTTTTGTTTTTCTGGTGGAATGCTGATATACGCTTCTCTTGCCATCAGAAGATTAACATTTTATACTCACAAAGCTGATGTTTTACTGAACTTTCTCTATCATTATGCAGTGTATAGTTGATGTACTGAATGGAGGCGGCTGTGTGAAAGCCATGGCAAAGTAAGAACTTGTGTTATATGAATAAAAACTGCTGAGTTGAATTATTTGGTCTCTGGTGGCTCTTTGGAAGACCACTCAACACTTTGGCTGGCTTTCCAGGAAAGTCAGAGAAATTGTCCTTCCTCCCTGGGCTTCCTCTGACAACCAGTCTCCATACGCAGCCTAATGGCAGCAGTGGTCTGATGGCTGGGTATTGAGGCTTGTTAATTGATGCAGTGTGACAGGTCAAAAAAAAATCAAAACTGCTCCAGATTGCTGCAGCAGATAATGGCACATCCAGTGCTCGCTGTTTATCTGGCATCGCTGGAGCGAGCTCCCCGCACAGGGGATGCACCAGCAGTCGAGGCGCTGTGAGGCAGCGGTGTCTGGTACGTGGCTCTGGCTGCAGTATGGGAACCTCAGGGCTGGGTGTCTCGGGTGCTAAAGAACAGTACACTCCTCAGTATTTTGGAATAAATAGTCTGGGCTGTGCTGCAGTTTTAATGGCCAGTTGCACTGTACAGTCTGGAAATAAATCCATGTTTTCTCCAGTTACATAGCACATCTGTGCCAGATGTTGAACATGATGATATGCTAACTATAACATGTCAAGACTTTGCTCTAAAGCTTTGTATGAACTGGGAAGGATGCAGTAGGAACATCATTGCTCCCATTTCTGTATAAGAATCTTCCCCTCCTGCCTGCTGTCCTGCACTACAGCATGTTCTTATCTGACTTGTTAAATAGCTTTATGGTCGTTATTCAAATTTATGCTCTTTAATTTAATACAGAGCAATGGCTCTTTCTAGTTAATCAGAAACAAGGAAGGCAGGTGTTCCTGGAGATGGTGCTTTGTTTTAAAAAACAAATCTGAAATCTGAACCTCACTGGCTGAAAGGTCATTTATCAGTTGTGGGAGAGGAAGCCTCCTGAGGATGTCAGCTGAAGTGACAGCAGGTTTGTGTGGCTCTGTACATGTGTGATGGCTGGGGTCCTGGGGGAGGGGGGTTAAGGGATGTGTCATGGATCTGATCAGACCTTTTCACCAGGTGAAGACTTTCCTGCTGTTTGTAGTCTGTAGCTGAAAAATGCTGCAGGATGTTAAGGCTGATCTTCAGTAAAATACCTTAATTGATAATGTTAGTTTTGCGGGATGTGTAGATGTGGGGGAATGTTTACTTTTATTTCAGTCAAAGCTGGACTGATACAACTAAAGGAATCAGCACAGAAACACAGAGGTTCATTGCCATGACAAGAAAGGGAAGAGCTGGTGGTGGCTTTGGTTGTGCTGTTAACTTCCCTGGTGGCACACAGTGATTTGGCAGGGCCAGTCCCTAACAAATCTGGTACAAAATGATTCCCACAAACCGCTGCTGGGTATGCAGCTGTGGCACCCAGAACGCCCTGCAGAAATGCCACTGGTCCTCTGAGTTCTCTCTTTTTCTCACACAGGGCTGCTGTGTGGTGAACCTGCACCTCCTGCCCCCAGGAGCAGCAGCATGCGCTGAGGATGTCTTGACTTGGTGGGTTTGGTGGTGGTGGTGTTTTGTGTTTAAATCGGTACTCAGGAGAGGGAAGGAGGAAAGGGGAAGCTGTGCTGGGGCAGGAGTCAGGGGGGAGAGGTCTGGGTTCTTGTCTCCCCTTCCCCTGGGCCGGGCAGTGACCCAGGAAGGGTCCTGGGGGTGGAGGCAGCCCCCTGCTCCCACCCCACAGGGGTCAGACCCCGCTGTCTGTCCCCCCCATCTCCAGCTTTGCTCGCTGCTGCGCCAGCTGCCCTGTGCCCTTCTCACTGGCTGAACTTTTGTCTGAACCCATCTGGTTCCCTCCCTTCGGGGGATTTCCAGGATGTGGCTAGCTCAACTCTCACATTTTAAGGCGTTTCCAGAGGCAGGAATCTGACCCAGGGTTCCCATCCAGGCCCTGGGAAAGGGGCTGCTCTGCGACGGCCGCACACGCGTCTGCGGTGGCACAGGGGGGCTGCGGCAATGCCACCCGCCTGGGGCAGGCCCGGCACCGAACGGCTGTTTTTGCCCAGCTCTGGGGTGCAGGGCCGCTGCTCTCCCCGCAGAGAGGAAGAGGAGCCTGTGCAGCAGCAGCTCGTGGGGCCCAGTCCTGCTGCGAGACAGAAACGCAGGAAGCGAGAAACTCCCCAGAGGAAATGTCGCCCCAGAGCGCACAGGAGGGTGCTGGAGGGGGCCTGGGTCCTGCCAGAGGGATGGGGGCTGGGGTGTGCAGGTGATGGCTGTGCTTTGCCCCCTCCAGCCCCGCCATCCTCGGTGCTCCTGCCACCGGCCTTCTCTGCGCCCTGGGGCGCAGGCCCCCCACGCCCCCTGCTCCCTACAGAGAGGGTTTGCTCGG